CACACACACCACACCACACCACACCACCCCCACCCCCTCTGTGAACCGGAACCAGCTCTATACTGACACCAGCCTTTCTGAGGCAGAACTACCAGGTGCTCTCTCCTTTGGGAACCTGCTCACCAGGGCCCAGCGGGCAGGGCAGCTCCCGGTCTTCCTTGTAGAAGGTGAACTGGGAGGTCCGGCAGAGTGGTAAGAGGTGGGTGAGGGTGACCGGCTGGACTCCTCCGTTGTGAAGCCTCAGGGTCAGTTCCTTCTTACAGTTCAAATCCAGGTGGATAAAGAGTTGCCCATCTCGGGCTTCATGCGGCCCCTGGACCTCTACGTCCACTCCATGTTTCCCATGAAGATACTCAGCCCTGGAGAAAGAGGAGTCAAGGAAGACCTAGGGCTGGAGGGGCTGGACCGGCACTTGCCCTGGGGACAAGGACAGTTCCAGGTTGGGCATTGTGTCAGCTTTGCTTAGGAAACCCACCTTTTCCTGCTCCCAGACCAATGAGCTCCTTCCCCACCCACCCCCTTTTGCTGAGGGAACCCACTTTCTCTCCTCAGACCAGCTCCCTTCCCCCAGCACTCATGGGCCACCCCCTCTCGCTCACACACCTGTCATAAAAGATCTTGGCTAGCAGCGACTTGTGGTGTTGACTAATATCTGAGCTTAGCTTCATCTCCCTCTCTTCTGGAACACACTCATCATCGGCCCAGCGGTCGAGTCTGAAGAACCTGACCCGAGTCTTGGTGACATAGGCTAAATTTGCAATCTTCATTCCGTACAGCATGGAGGAGAAGCCAGGGGTTCCAGTCCCGAAGCTGCCGAAGCAGAAGAGAGTGGGAAGTAAGGGAAGGCGGGGCTAAACTAAGGTGAGGCAGCCAGGTGGCTGGGGACTGAGGGTCTGAGGCCTGCTCCGTGCTGGACAAAACAGGGCTGGGCCCAGAGGCAGACTCAGACTGGGAATCTGAGGAATTTCATTTAAATGTTTCAAGGGAAGGCAACAGGATTCCCTAAGATGAAATCTGATCTTTGTTGACAGCAGGTTGTGGCTTGTGAACGTCTGAAGTGAGAAGCCTAATCACGGGCTTTGAGTTTGGAGGACTGAGGGAGGAGAAAGGAGGGTTTCTGGGAAAATGATCTAGGGCAGAAAACAAAACAATGTACCCAACAATCCAGCAAAATGCTCATGCAAAGAGAAACCAAAATAAGGTGACGCAGAGGGTCAAATGTGGGGCCCAGCCTGTGAACAGGTGTGAAAGAGGGGGGCAGAGACAGCACGAAAAGTCCAGGGTGCGTGCGCAAGGTGTGAGATCAGGCCGCGGTTTCCATGTGAAGTCAAAGGGTGTGGGGAACCCAAGCAGGAAGGGAAAGGATCCTTTTCCAGAGATCCAATAGCTTGGCTTTGTGCCTAGAGAAGTGGAGACAGGGAGAACTGGTCAGCAGGACAATGCCCTCGAGGCCCGGTGTCTGGAATGCAGTCCAGGCAACCCAACAAACACCTACAGAGGCCACTTACATGCCAGTCACTGGGCTAGAGGCTGGGGCTTCAAAGTGCAAGGCATCCAGACCCTGTCCCGAGGAGCACACCGACTGGACACACAGAATCCAGCCAGACGCCATGAGCCGGAAGCTTGGGACCTCCAGGGGCCCTGAGCTCGAGCTGGGGACAGGACCCTGACCACGAGGCCTCTCCAGGAGAGTCCCGAGGGACAAACTGGGGCTAACCCCCCTAAGAGGGAAGGCAAGTACCCCATGCAGAAAGGCTATAGCTAGAGGAAGGAATGTGTGCGGGTGTGTGTTGGGGTAGGGGTCACCCACTCTACCCCTCTAGCTGGGTCATCGAGGATGACTTCACCCCTGGGACCCTGCCTTCTTCATCTCTTAAACGAGGCCAAAAGACTTACCTTGCAGGGCTGCACTGTGGGCTGTGGTGAAGCCCTTGGCTCGGTGCGAAGCACATAAAGGGCTCTCGAGAAGGGTGAGCTATATTAGTGTCACAGGGAGCCTGGCCATCCAAGACTGACAGTGCAGGGAAGAGGGGCAGGGGCAGCAGAGGTGGGCAGGGACCAGGTCATGGACGGTTTTGAATGCCAGGCCGAGAAGCCTGGGCTGGACCCTGAAGGCCAACAGCCCCCCTCCACCCATCCCTTCTCTGGCAGCGGGAGGACACTCCGTGGCGTGGCGTGCGTCACAGACACTGTCATGATGGGGACGGCTGACGGCCTCCCCTCGATAAGAGTGATGGCAGTCTCTGTGAAGCTCCATCCGCATGGTTGGGGTTGCAGTTAAGATCCTTGGTGGTTACCAGCATCTCCCTGGTGCCCCTTGCCTGTAACTCTGCCCCTCTCCTTCAGCCCAAGCAAAATGGGGGACTCTTCAGGGAATGGAATGGGTGCTGATTTTTTTTAAGATAAGAAATCACCTTTAAAAAACATAATAGAAAATGCTCAATGTTAGCTACTATTATTAGTATTCATATTAGTAGTAATAGTAGTACCAATAGTAACAGTAGTAGTAGGAATCATAACAACTTACTTTCAGCCCCGGTCAGGGGCTACATTGTGGTTACAGAACCACCCCTCGGTTGGTGGGTTTTACGCAAGATCATACTTGCGTTTCAGATCACTCTGGCACCAGGACTGGAAGATGGATTTGCTGGAGGCAAGACTGTAGGCAGGGAGACCAGTTAGAAGAAGACCAATGCAGTAGTCCAATGAAAAGATGGCGAGGGCTTGGAAGAGGAAGCGGTACAGATAAAAGAGAAGGGGCCAGATTTGACAATATTCAGAGTATAAAATCAACAGAATTCAGTGACTGACAGGAGTTGGGTAGCAGGGAAGCTGGGGAGAGAGAGGAGTCAAGGATTGGGACAAGTCGGCTTGGCTTCGAGGACTATTCCCAAGATTAGGTGTAAGGACAGGAGGAGGATGGGGGGGAGGGGGCTGACCATCCATTTGGATTTGGACATGCGTGGCTTGAGATTCCTGTGGCCCAGAGGCAGCTGGCTCAGTGAGTGAGTCAGAAACTGGGAATGCAGACCAAAGTCCAGGTGAGAACTTAACACTAAGGAGTCCCCAGGTAGCAGTTAAAGCCAGGGGCGTATTTGTTCTTTAAACCTTGAGCTCAAACTATCCCCGGATGTCCTCTTGAAACCAAACAAGAAAATAAAAAATAAAACAAACAAGAGTTTAGTTCATTGAATAAAAAAATAAATAGCGTAACTCTTTGCCTTGGCCATTGGGCTCTTTTGACAGAAACGAGATCAAATAGACAACAGGCCCACTGAAGTATGGACGAGCAGCTCAGGAGGCACGGGTCTGATGGAATCATCTGGGGAGAGATTGTGGGAACGAGGACACACAGGCAGAATGTGCGCCCGTCACTCAACTGCACTTGCAGAAATGGTTGAGCGGTTGGGTGGGTGCATGCTTTGCTGTGTATGTATTCTTACCATCAGATTTTGGAAAACACCCATTGAGAGAATAACCAAACGAGAAAGTGCCCAGCAATGAGGATGAGGATGGGAGGCAACAGTGCTCCACAGACTATGTAATGATTTCCCAACGACAGAGCCACAGTAAAATAAACAAAACACTGACGGGTGTGGGATCTCCCAGGAAGCATGAGGAGCCTGAGAACAGTCCAGGCCGGGGAAACCCCACAGGACATAAGAACAGAAAAGGAACCCTTCAGAGAGCCAGGAGAACCAGGAGGCAGTCTCCAAAGCACGGGCATTGCCATCAGAGGCTGCTGAGGGGCCAGTAACAGAGGGACCCAAACCAGAGGATTCTTCATAATGCTCACCAGGGTCCTGGGGTAGATCGGGCACAAACTCATGTCTACAGAAGCCAGGTTCAGCATTAGAAGCACACTCCCTGATACCTGCAACCCTCCCAGATCCCTTACCCCACTACCCACCAGCCAGCTGATTCCAAGTCACCGGGATCAGAGGCAGAGAACAGTCTCATTGGGTTTTCGAGGCTATAAACCTCTGTGGGAGAAGGTGGCTCCCTCTGAGCAGCTGCTGGGTTCAAACGGCTAACCTTGTAGTTAGCAGTCCAATGTGTAACCCACTCGGCTACCAGACATCTTACACAGTCCTATCAGTAGTGTAAGGTAGACTGCGTCCCTCAAAATTCTGCTGTAAGAGAAAGAACCGTGCAGGCACCATGATTTGGGGCTCCAAGCTTCCAACGAGGGGTAGGGGAAAGAGAGGTGGAGGGGCTAGGAGTAAGTGGGGTGGTGGTGGGCAGGGGCTGAGGGGATAGAACAAATGGGGGGTTGCATGTTATCTAAAGAGGCAATGGCCACTCGGCTCTAAAAAACTGTCACCAAGAAGGGTTACAGGCTCAAGGTTAGTAGACTTTCTGAATTTTAAAAGCAGCAAAAATAAAATCAAAATTTGAATGTGAAACTTCCTATATTTGGAAACTCTAGATGAGCACACAACAGGCAAAATGCATCTTTAGACCTTGTGAAATTTCTACTGAGAATGCTATCCTCCCACCTAAATATTACCCCCAACGTCTGAATTCGCACATGCCTTGTCTAAGGGTATTGAAACTTGGAAAACTCACTGCCATTTGAGTCCATGCCGACTCATTGCAACCCTACAGGACACGGTGAGGCTGGCTGTGTGGGTTTCCTGTAACTCTTGGAAGTAGAAAGCCTTGCCTTTCTCCCGCCGAACCTCTGGTAGTTTTGAACTGCTGACCTTAAAGTTAGGTAACCACTACACCACCAGGGCTCCTAGTCTAAGGGGATGGTCATTTGTAAAGAAAAAAAGAGAGAGAAATCACTTACTCTAAGCTTGTTTTGGGGGGTGGGGTGGGGGTGGAGGAACCAGCTCTTTATAATAAATTTAAAATTTATTGACAATATAAGAAATCGAGTACTATATTTAAAGAATAAGCCTAAGAATGCCTAAAAAAAAAACAAACCGAAAAGATGCTCCTAAAGCAGCAGAGAAACAAAAATCAAACAGATTTTTTTATTCCCAACAAACTGACAAACATGAAAATTAGCCATAAAACGCATTGCTGGCACACATATGTGGAAAAGGGAATGCTCGTGCACTTGCTGGGAGAAAGGTGAAGTCTTACAATCTCTTTGGAAAACTATATGGCAGTAGCTACTAGCACTTAAAATGCAGGTATCTTTAACTCAGGAATCCCATCCCCAAGTCTATCTCCTAAAAAGAAAGGCCCAGTATTCGTGGGTGTTTACTCCTAACACAGAAAACTAATCACACAGATATAAAAATTTATCACACTGGCCCAAATAGCTAGAATTGAAAGGGCTGACAACACCAACTTTGGCAAGAACGTGAAATACCTAAACCGCTGAATTATCACTGACTGGAGTGTAAAATGATGCAATCACTTTGGACTACACTACACTGTGTCCCAGAAACTCTAATCCTAGGTCTACCCACCCTGCCCCCCAGAGGAACATGGAAACAAATAGCTTGCACAACGTTCACAGCAGCTTTATGCAAAATAAGCCTAAATCGAAAAGTCTCTGTGAAGAGGAGAATGGGTAAACAGATGTGTAGTCATACAAAGAAATACTACTCAGTGATGACAAGGAACTGACCCATGGAGCAGTTTGGAGGAACTTCAAAACCACAGGGGAAGTGGGGTGGGTGGGTGGGGTGTAGGGTTTGGCCGAGTAAAAGATGTATTTCACCCGGTTTCCAAATTTATTTGGCCTACCTCTTCTTTTTAAGAAGAAAAAAATTACTCAACACCTCCCTGGCAATTAAAAACTTTAGTACTAGAGCCCATAATCCAGGATAAGGTGTAGGCATCTGCTTTTGCATAAGCCTGGTTGCGTAGTGGTTATGCATGTAAAATCAGCAGTTCAAAACTACCAGCCGGTCCACGGGAGGAAGATGAAGATTTCTACTGTCAATCTTTGGAGTGTCGGAAACCCACAGGGCAGTTCCATTCTGCTCTACAGGCTGCCTATAAATCAGAATGGACTTGCGTCAGTGAGTTTGGCTTTGAGTTTTTCATCTGCTTTTGCAGGTAGTCTGGATCTTCTTCTCGACTCCCCCACCCCTGGGGTGCTGGTGGTCTTGTCCACTTGGTGAAACTGTCTGACAAGATTCATTGCCAGGCATTACGTTCTGGAGCAAGCACCATAAAAAACAGAAACATTTCAGAGCAGTGGTTGCCTCTGGGCTGGTAAGGATGAAAGCTAAGAATGGGCAAGTGGGAACTTTCTGGGTGGATGTGATCAATGCTCCTTATGTCAATAGCAGTCTGTACACAGCTATGTGCATTTCTCTCTCTTTTTTCCTCCCTATGATTTAATAAGCTTTATTTCAATGTCTACATAAATAGGAGTTGGTGTGGAACAGTGAGGCATTTTTCTGAAGAGTTAAATTTTATGTATTAAACAATAGAACTTGGTCTTGTTTTCTCAGAATCCAGCCAACTGACACAGATTCGTTCCTCACCAAGCATCTTTTTATTTTAAATTGTTTTATTAAGGGCTCATCACAATCCATACATACAATTGTGTAAAGCACATTTGTACATTCATTGCCCTCGTCATTCTCAAAACATTTGCTCTCCACTTAAGCCCCTGGCATCAGGTCCTCATTTTTCTCCCCTCCCTCCCTGCTCCCCCCTCCCTCATGAGCCCTTGATAATTTATAAATTATTATTTTGTCATAGCTTGCCCTGTCCGATGTCTCCCTTCACCCACTTTTCTGTTATCCATCCCCCAGGGAGGAGGTCACATGTAGATCCTTGTAATTGGTTCCCTCTCTCCAACCCCCCCTCCCTCCCTCTACCCTCCCAGTATCACCACTCTCACCAAGCATCGTTCATCATGCCCCAAATTTAAAATCTTTGGTTGACACTTTTCTTATTTCTGAAAGTCTTTTACATCTTTTGTTACTGAGTTTTTGTTTTTCAGATTTTTTTTTCTCCCAATAGGATGTTTTGGTAGGTAGGGTGGATTTTGATATCATGCAGGCTGCTTATGTCTCAATGGTCAGTGGTGGGAGAACGGTAGGATGAGATGAGGAAACAATAATCACTTGAACATTATCTTATCCTGAAGGCACCCCCCCCTATCACACAGCAAACAGTGAATATGCTGACAAGTCTCTTGCTGTACAGAAGGTCAAAGAGACAAAAGCATTACATAATCACCTTTCCAGGACGTACCACCTTATACAGCCACCTCTCAACACAGCAGCATATTGTCTACAAAATCCCTTTAAAGTTAACATCAGCCCCAAACCCAATGCCTGCTTCTAACATCAAAAACAAATACATACACTGCAGTGGAGGCTACAATGACGGTTTACGGGAGTAAAACGCCCAGTCTTTCTCCCTCGGAGCTGTTGATGATTTCAAATTCTCGACCAAGAAGCCCCAGGCATAACCAGGACATCACAGGGCTCCCAGGTATGTGCATTTCTTAAAACTTATACAACGGTGAGTTGTCCCTTTAAATGTCAATTTCATTCTAAAAATAACTAGCAGGTGTTTAGGAGTGAAAAGCGTGCATGCCTGAAACTTACTGTGAAATACATTTAAAAACAAAGTTTCAAATGGCTCGTTGGATGGATTCCAAAAACCAAAACCAGCTCACAGCTATCGAGTGGACTCTGACTCCTGTGAGCTTACAAGACTGTACGCCTTTACTGGAATAGAAAGCCCTGTTGTTCTCCTTCAGGTGGCTGGTGGTTTTGAACTGCTACACCAGCAGGGATAAACCCAGTCATAGTAATGGACAGTAGGGCAGATGTGTTCTAAAGCGAACAGTGCACAGTGTTACTGAAGGAATTTAGGTGAAGGGTATACTGGTGTGCACTGGCCACTGTACCTTTTATGCACATTTGACATTTTTCATAATAAAATACCGAGGGGGGTATTAGCCCTGGGTGACCCAAGCTATGTGCTACAGACTACTGGACTTTAGACTGTTATTTTTTCTTCTTTTATAAATAATTTTATTGGGGGCTCTTATAACAATCCATATATCAATTGCATCAAGCACATTTGTACATATGTTGCCGCCATCATTTTCAAAACATTTTCTTTCTACTTGAGGTCTTAGTATCATATCAGACCCCCCCCATGACCCCTTGATAAATTATAATAAACTTTTTTCATATTTTACGCCGTCTGTAGTCTCCCTTCATCCACATTTCTATTGTTCATCTCCCTCAGTTCCCCCTTTCTCCCACATCCCCTTAACGTCATGGTATCCCTACTCCCATTATTGCTCCTGAGGGGTTTATCTGTCCTGGATTCCAGGTGTCCAGAGCTCTTATCTCTACCAGTGTACATGCTCAGGTCTAACCAGATTTGTAAGGTAGAATTTGGGTCATGGTAGTGGGACAGGAAGCATTAAAGAACTAGAGGAATGTTGTGTGTTTCATCGGTGCTATGCTGCACCCTGGCTGGCCCATCCTTCTCTGTGACCCTTTGTGAGGGGATGGGATGTCCAATTGTTTACAGAGGTGCTTTGGGTCTCCACGCCGACCCTCCTCATTCACATCGATATGTTAGTTGGTTTTGGGTCTAGACTGTTCTTTCAAGGCACTCAACATCCTTCAAACTAGATCCTGTTCAAACATCAAACACATGAAACAAGTTACTACAAGCTTATTTTGGGTAAATTTTTTTTTTAATCCATGCATAATTTTTTCATAAGATGTATTTTCTGTAAACTATTTGAAGACCCCCTCATATAAGGGTAAGAGGCATAGCAAAGTGTGACAAAGAAAGTAGATGGTCTGGCTATCAGAAGAATGTCTTCCAACAAGCAGCCATCTAAGTGAGGCCTCAACTAAATCCACATGGAAGAAGCACAGCAGCCTGTGATCCAAGGATTGTAAATAATAAAACTGAAATCCCAAAATGGGAATGGTATCAGAGCTTAAATTGTGAATACCTGGTTTGCAGAAGGCTATGGTTGACAATGGTAGCCTAAAATCCATTTGCAGTGTCCCTACATGGATTAAGCCTCTGGTGAATCCCCTCTGACTATGGTCTAGGATGTGAACAGCCTGGTTACCAAACAGAAAACATTGTAAAATTGTTTATGGCAGATGTAGTTAGATTAAAATGTAATGTATCATTTTAAGATATTACATTTTGGGGTGAGCAGGGAGGGGAAAAATGAGCTGATACCAAGGGCTCAAGTAGAAAGCAAATGTTTTGAGAATGATGATGGCAACAAATATACAAATATGCTTTACACAATGGATGTATGTATGGATTATGATGAGTTGTATGAGACCCCAATAAAATGATTTTTTAAAAAGATAATACATTTTGACCCATTTTAAAGTTGTTTATATTTGAAACACATGTGACTTAAGCCGCCAGTGAAACCCCTCTGACCACAGACCAGGGTTGTGAGTAGCCTTGTTATCACGATTACTGCAGATACAGGTAGGTCAAAATTTAACACCTTTATCATTTGATCTCCATTTTGACCCTTTAAAAATTTGTTCTAGTTTTTATTATTTTCAGCTTTCTTTCCAACTGAGGTTTTTCTCTAATTCACTTTGTTGGTTTTAAAAAAAAATGTTTTCCTGTATATAAAATCCAGGATAGGTAAATTCAAACAGTAACTGGATTAAAGGGGGT